GGCCCCCGGCCCAGCATCGCCGGCCCCCGGCCCAGCCCTGCCGGTCCCGATTTTCCCGGACATGTCCAGCTTTTTGGGATTTCCTCCCGGACGGGGATTTGGAGCCCAAAAAGCCGGACATGTCCGGGAAAATCCGGACGTATGGTAACCCTAGCTCTACTACAATTTAGTCTTTTTCATATTTTAAATGAATGTTTTAATCTGTTTCCAGAGAGAATGCAGAAGGGGGAAGAATAATTGTAGAAGTTGATGAAAAAGTGGCAAAAGTCAGAAACATAAAGGTAAGTTTGATTTGTTTCTTCTGCTTCTCAAACTCTGATGGTTCTAGAACAGGGGTGAGCAAACTTTTTGGCCTGAGGGCCACATTGGGGAATAGAAATTGTATGGCGGGCCATGAATGCTCACAAAATTGGGGTTAGGGTGTGGGAGCGGGTGAGGGTTCTGATTGGGGATGCAGGCTCTAGGGTGGAGCTGGGGATGAGAAGTTTAGGGTGTAGGAGGGTGCTCTGGGCTGGGACTGAGGGGTTCAGAGCGGGATCAGGGCTGGGGCAGGGGTGCGGGAAGCGGTGTTGGTTCTGGCTGAGGGTGTGGGCTCTGGGGTGGGGCTGGGGATGAGAGGTTTGGGATGCAGGAGGGTGCTACGGGCTGGGATCAAGGGGTTTGAAGAGCGGGAGGGGGATCAGGGCTGGGGCCGTGGGGAGAGACTCAGGGGTGCAGGCTCCGAGCAGCACTTACCTCAAGCAGCTCCCAGTATCAGTGGCATGTCCCTTCCCTGGCCCCTACACATGGAGTGGCCCCGACTCCTGGAATGGGGCCATGCCATGGCTTCCGGGAGCCACGTGGTGCGGCCCCCGAGCCGGCGCCGCGGCTGGAGCGCCAGAGCGGGGCCATGCCGCATGGTGCAGCCCCTGATCTGGTGCCCCGGCTGGAGTGCCGGAGCGGGGCCAAGCTGCGTGGTACGGCCCCCCACTGGTGTCCCGGCTGGAGCTCACAGGCAGGCTTAAAATGGCCGATCCGGCCCGCGGACCATAGTTTGCCCACCCCTGTTCTAGAATAATGATGAAATTTTGTGGGAATGTATAGCTGTATTTTTATTTGGCCATTGGATCATCCAGAAAGCAAGCTTAAAAATAAAACAGGAAGGAAATATTAAGAAAGAAACTTTAATTGGCACAGATACTGCGTTGTTTTAGAATTGCCATGAACATCTGTGTTTTTTGTAAGATAAACAAAGAACATCTAGCTGTGCTTCTCTTACTTTCTGTTTTCTGTATCTATCAAAGCCTCAGTACTGTGGCTGCATGCCATCGTTCAAGGCTGTCAGTAAATTGTTAGTAACAGTAAGATAATCACAAAATCCCAAACATCTGGATAAGTTTTTCTCTTTCCTTTTCTCCTTTCTCCCACCATTTGCAGTCAGATGCAATTGCAACTAATGTGTGAAATTGAGCAAAATGTATTCAGCCACAGTTAAGGCTTTGATGGGTGACTGGGAACACTGAGAATTGACTTACTGCACCCTCCTTCCTTTCCCTTTGGGATTCTTAGAGGCTACCTGCATGGGACATGAGAACCAGAGCTGTGTTTAAGACACTGAGGTTCTTTAATGCTGCTATGCTACTCAGTAAATTAGTAAAATGGGACCAAAGTCTGTGTTTCCATGCTCTTTCCGCTTCAAAAGGCAAATGAATGAAATGTAGAATAGTCTAGATAACTGTGGGAATTCTAAAGGACTCATGTTTTCTTTATTTCTTGATTGCTTTTTTGTTTATATCTGCATGTCAGCCTAATTATTTTAGATGACTTGTTCAAGAGAATTAGTATTTTAAATTTCTTAGGAGGAAGCTTGGCACAGATAAGATGAATAGACTTGTGCCTTTTCCCTCTTGTTCTGACTGGTAATCTGGGCTCTGTCCTGTTAGGATAGCAGTTGATAGTGCTCAGCAATGCCAGAGATGCTTTTTTCTTCTCTCTCGCAGGTGTGAAGGGGGAAGGTACTGCTCACCTGCTGTATAATTCCTTTCTTTTTCATGTATAATATTATGGCCCCAATCCTGTAAATTGTTCCGTATGGGCCAACCTTGAGTCAGTTTGGGTCTGTGCAGGTACAGGGCTCTCCTCATATGGAGCAGTTTGCATGATTAGGGCCTAGGGACCTATGAAAGTATTTCCTTTTTCAGCACTTTAAAGCTTTGCACCTAAAACTGACATAGGAGAAGACAGTAGGACTGTAATTCTAATTTAAATATTTGAATAACCATTGCTCCTCTACCCTCTAAAATAAATAAGGTCAGATTAAGATTCCCTGGTCTATTTACCTAGGGATACAGGGACCTAGAACTGAAGCAAATTGAGCCAATGTCAGTAGTCTAACATTTGTTTCAACAATAGAGCTTCTGGTACCTTATAAAGATTTGGTTCCCTTCGTCATGCCCATAAGTGAGAAATTATACTGGTAATTTCATAAGGTAATTAAAGTAAATGTATGGACAGAGCAAATCTGAGGTCACAATAAGATGACAGAAATGTTGAGGAGTTTGCAGAAACCAGGTGGTTCTTGGTAGTTTTTTTGCATTTTAATTGTTTTTCTAATGGTTATATGCATCAAAGATATTCCAAAGTCTCCTTACAGTTCCATCTTCAAGAAGGACCTGAAGTGTGTGTCACAAGTTTAGAGTCTTAGCGAAAGGATTTCTCTGGAATAAGCCTAGAGCATAGATAGATCGTAAAATGGATGAAAAGTTTAGCAGGTTATAATGCTCAGCTAGGCTACAGCATAGTTAACAATCAGTATATTTAATATTAGGTCATTTTAGAGAGGTTTTCTGTATATATGTTGTGTGTATTTCTGTGTGTCAGAGAAAAGGCAGAAATGGCCTTAAAGCTTAGCATGTGCACTCATAGTAATCCATGTAAACAACTTCTCTGGTACAGAATTATCTGGTGATATGAGAAGAATATCTTCTGAAGGCAGAAAATATGCTACAGATCAGACAGTAAATATCACAGCAGTCAGATTAAGCTACTAGGCCAGGATTTCTAGAAGTGACTAGAGAGTTTGTGTGCCCAATTTGAAACAACCGAAAGAGGATGGATGTGCAGCATGCAGGTGCTCAGCCCTTTCTCAAACATGCAAGAAAAATGGGAGTTTCCTCACCACGTTCTTCACTTGTGTGGTGGGTTGTTTCAGTGGTCCCTTTTCTCCCCAGCCATCATGCCTTCTGCCCCTTTTGCCTTCTTGGGGGAGTCTCTGACATCAGGATAGTATTGTGGGGATTAACCTAGTCTAGATTCACTGCTTGGATTTATCAGGCCCATCTGGGAGTCCCTCCCTGAAATGATAGTAACTAGGAAGAAGCCATCTGTAGGCTTTTGATGAGCAACTGAACCTAGTTAGACTGACCTTTCGAGAGAGAGCCATGAAATAAGTACTTTGCTTAGGAACAGAGGGATAGAGGGTCTTGCTTAGCAGAAGTCTGGCAGGGAGTTCTGGAGCCATAAGAGCTGACCTGTTTATATTTTGTTTGGTATTTCAAGACTGTTAAGTTTTATGAAGGGAGAGGCGTTGCCTTGTCTACATTCCAAAGTTTCACTGCTTGTAAATATACCAGTATGTTAAAGTGGTACAACCCCCAATATGGAAACAGTTATCAGTATAAAAGTGCTTTATGCCAGCAAGCTATTCCTGTACAGGAAGAGAATAAGCTATAGGTATATAAGACATATACAGCAGCATAACCATTTCCACACTAGGGTTGTACCAGTATAATAATTTAGTTTTGAAAAAAAACAAAAAACCCAATGTACCCCTAATGAAAATAGTTATATCAGTGCACAAACTGTGTATCTGAAACCTTTACATTAATAGAGATTTCTTTTGTAGCCTGTCACTTTGATTATAAAATTGAATTCGCAGAGATAAAGTACCGTATTCATTTTATCTTGTTGCAATAGGCAGTCAGGGCTCCTAGTTAGCCACAATCAGCTACTGCAGAAAACAATGGAGAGTTCTCTTTTGGGTTACATCACTTATAAGGCTTCTGAATAAACCTCATTTATTGAAGAATCCTTTTGAATTAACTGATCAATAGACTAGCTTACATTTTAACACTAGCCAAAGGAAACATCAGTTGGAGTTAATTCAACATGACTAATTTAGAATCATGTGAGTTTCTCCACACATGAGGTCCTTTTTCGTTTAAGGATAAATGTACAGGTCCGTCCTCCCACCCCCCACTCAGAGCAGCAAAACTGCTGTTAGCAAAGAGGCTCTTTTAGATGGGCTTGTTTAACAATTTCCCCAGTAATCTCCATAAATTATGATAATACTTAGCATTTACAGTGCTTTTCATTCATAGATCTTAAAGGTAGCTAAGTGTTATCATCACCATTTTTCAGCAATAGTGGCTAAGTGGTTTGTTAATGTGATATTTAGTGTTCTAATTAATAGTGAATTTAACTATTTTCTTTTCTACTTATGCTGTTGCCAGATGTCAAGATTGCTAATTCTGTTGCTGCTAATGTCAGTGCTGGATATGGATCCAGCTATTTCTGGCTCGTGTGTGATTCAAGGTTTTCTCCTTTGATTTGGGAAGGGGAAGTGTTGTTTGGGTTTTTGGAAAGTGCCTTGCCCACTTGCTGGGTGCAAACAGATACAGCGTCTTGTTTGGAATCAAATGACGACTTGTGTAGCAAGATCTGTTTAATTTCCTTAACGTCTTGAGTCACCTTTTATGAAAATGATTATTTTTACAAAGCCATAGGCATACATGGCACTTTGCAGCTCAAATAAAAATACAAGCTCTTGCCCTTAAACATTTACAGTCATAAATATTAGACCTGATTCTGCAGTCCTTATTCACAGGAGTAGTGTCATTGACTCTTTAATGAAACTTTACTAAATCCTTTAAACAGCTTTTTCTAATATCAAGAGACTGACCCCGCCTCCAAACTCTCCCCGGGGGGGAGGGAAGTGTGTTTAAAAACCGATTCAAAAATTCCAGTAGGGTGTTATCCCATTCTTTGCACAGATTAATTTAATGTATGGCATCAGACTTAGAATCAGTGATGAAAGCTGAAACCATGAACAAAGTTAAAATATGTATGTATATATTTTTAGAAATTATGTACATTATACAGTAGCACTGGGAAATTTTTGTTCTGATTACTTGATGGCTGTTTAAACTAGAGCTGTAAAGACCAATATTGGGTATGTCTTCACTGCAGAGTTAGCCTTCCCCAACTCCCTTCCTGTCTACACACAAACTTCTCACCTGTATTTAGTGGTGCTTTCAACCTGGATTAATTGGCATGTCTGTGGGTATGGATTAAAACTTTATAGTGAGGACTCTAAGCTAAACCACTCAGGAGTTGATAGTTCTCCACTGCCTTCCCAAAATTCCCCATGTGTGCCTAGAAGGGATAGACAGGTTCTTCTACAACTTAATATGAAAGAATTGTAGAGAAGCTCAGCTTACTGCAGCCCAAAAGAGCCCTGGGATATGCCCCTACAAATCCTAATGACACATACAGATGAGTGTAGCACTAGTGAGGTTGTAGTAATTCAGGTATGGCTCTGCAGTGTGGCTACTCACACGTGGGCTAGGCTAACTTAGGTGCTCAGACCTGAATGCCAGTCACCCGAGCTACATTTTTAGTGAAGACATATATCCTAAGTGAAATACTTGAGTAACGAAAAGAAGTAGCTCCAACCTATGCTATATCTGGAGAGTTTGGTCATGATTACTGGTTAATCAAAACTCAGGATTTGCTATGGGCACTTTGTAATCCATAACACACTGAGGGAGGAGAACTGATAAACTGTTAATACAACAAGGTACAGAAGGAGAGTAGATAGACTTGTGGTTAAAGCGTAATACTAGGAGTTGTGAGGTGTGGTTCGTATTTCTGGCTCTACCATAAATAGTCATTTAACCTCTGGGATTCAGTTTCTCCATTTGTAAAATGGGGATAATGCTTTCCCACCTAAAATGGATGTTGAGGATTAACTCAGTAATGCTTGTAAAATGCTTGGAGATCGTTGGATGGAAAACTCTTAAGTGCATTGTACTTTTTTTTAAGTAGGAGAGAAGTGGTGAACGAACTGCTCAGTGAAAGTTTTACCTTAGCAGCTTTGTGATGGATCCATCCATATTTTTTCTTTGACTTTTGTGCAAAAAATTAAAACAGTATGAACTTGGAGCCATGAATATTTGTGTTGTGAGAAGGGGAAATGTATATCCTGGACAAACATTTAAAATGATGCTCTTTGGTAATCCTCAAATTCAAGTGCTCTTTCTATCTTCCCCCACTATTCAGGTAGACAATAGGCTTGAGGGCTCATGGGACACAAGAGAGAAGATTGTGGCTTTTGGCTTTGATTTCTGCTATTGGTCAGTTGATCCTGAAGATCCTAAATATGCATCTCAGGAAGTGGTGAGTAATGTTTCAATTCTCCGTGTGTGTCCTGTTTTGTCCTTTATTATTGTGTTTGGTGAGAAGGTGGGGAGGATATAAACCCTCAGTAACCAAGTTTGAGAGTCTAGTATTTGATTTATTTTTCCTAGGATCATCTTTTTCTTATCCTGTTGATGATATATCACTACTGTATCCCCACTGTGGTAACATCACAGTCCTTAATTTAAAATAAAAGTACTGGAGTACTCTTTGTACTAGTTGATAGACATCACTTTGACTGTGTCATCAGCTTTCTGATGAGCGCTCATGATCTGAAAAGACAAGAAGCCTGAGGGACTCCAGTTAAAGCAATGAAAAATAATTGGGGGTCAGATTCTAGAGGGAGAAAATGATGGTACTTTATATAAGTGCTGACCACAATCCCAAACTTAGTCCACAGAATCAGAGTAGCTCGATGTTTCTACTGAAATTATCAGCAATGAAGTGACATTTTAAATGGCAGCATTAAACTTCAATGTTAACACCACATTGTTTTGAACAATACTAGATTAACTCTGAGCATTTAATTAGAGAATCAGAAATCTCTCATACCAACCAGCACTCTTCCTAGTTTGATAGTCCAAGATTTGTTTGGTTAAATACAAAGGTCATAGGGATATGTGTATTCAAAAAACCCAAAAATTATAAGGTTCACTTTCTTTTTTTCAGTAACCCAGAGGTTCTTGTAAAATGACAAGTAATTATGGGAAAACAGCCCCTACTTTCTCCAGACATATCCTATCTGTGTGCATTCAGTGCTATCTGCTGACAGTAGTGATTAAAACATGTTTTTACTGCTCTTTGCTACTGATAGACTTGAAGAGCCAACACATCTAACAGGTTGCTGTATCTATTTGATCTTGTCCATCAGTAGAATTGTTTACTAAATTCCAATCATTATACCTGTGCAGGCCTGTTGCAGACAATGGAGTCACACAGGTGTCACTGAGGACCAAATTAGCCCTGCAGAACCTGTTCTATTGGTGATGATGTGCACAGTACCTAGCTTTACTCTGAGTCGATGCTGAATTTGCAAAGTGGCAGTTACAAAAATTATGGATCTGCCAAGGAGAAACCTAGCACAGCAGGGTGGGAGGAGGCTATTGGGTATTTTGTTGCAGCTCCTTGATTCTCTGGGTGGCTCTGTGCTGGCTGCAGCTCTAACCAAAATTAGAGCATCCTGACGATTGTGCCAACCTTTGTCAGCTTGCAGTAGTCCCCAAAGAACTGTAATCCAGCTAAGGATAGCCAGAGCACCATGCCTCTAACATTCTCCCTAATCCACCTGCTACAATCATAGAATCGTAGGACTGGAAGGGACCTCAACAGGTCATCTAGTCCAGTCCCCTGCACTCATGGTAGGACTAAGTATTATCTAGACCAGTGGTTCTCAACCAGGGGTTGGCCGTGAGCTGCTTTCAGGTGGCCACAGGGCCCCATGGCTGAAGCCCGGCACCCCAAGCCCTGGCACCCCCATGGGACTGAAACCAGGAGTGGAGCTGCAGGGTCCCCTGAGCCCCAGTGACCACCCCCCCCCAACTGGGGCTAAAGTTCTGAGCCCGGCACCCCCCATGGGGCTGAAGCGAGAAATGCGGGGCTGAAGCCCTGAGCCCTGGCATCTCAGAGGGGCTGAAGCTGGGAGCATACCATGGGGCTGAAGCCCAGAGCCCTGGTGCTCTTGTGAGTCTAAAGCCCAGAGTCCCAGCACCCTGCAGGGCAGAAGCCTTAGCTCCCCCCAGCCCTGGCACCCTGTGAGGCTGGAGCCCTGAGCTCCCCTCTGCCCCCAGCACCCCGTGGGACTGAAGCTCTCAGCTCCTCCCCACAGCCCTGTCACCTCTCACTCAGTGGCTGAAGTCCAGAACTCTGAGGCCTCCCTCCCCCTTTGGCTGAAGCCATGAGTCCTAAGGTTCTCCCCCCACCCTGAAATGTAACCCCTGATCTAGACCATTCCTGACATGTGTTTGGAAATTTTTAAGAGCAGGTTAGACAATGACAGAGATTGCACAACCTCCTTAGGCAATTTATTCCAGTAGTTAACCACCCTGACAGCTAGGAAGTTTTTCGTAATGTCCAACCCAAACTGTCCTTGCTGCAATTTAAGCCCATTGTTTCTTGTCCTCAGAAGTTAAGGAGAACAATTTATCTCCCTCCTCCTTGTAACAACCTTTTATGTGCTTGAAAACTGTTATGTCCCCTCTTAGTTTTCTGTTCTCCAGACTAAACAAACCCAATTTTTTCAATATTCCCTCATAGGTCATGTTTTCTAGGGCTTTAATAATTTTTGTTGCTCTTCTCTGGACTTTCTCCAATTTGTCCACATCTTTCCTGAAATGTGGCACCCAGAACTGGACACACTATTCCAGGTGAGGCCTGAGTAAAGCGGAAGAATTACTTCTTGTGTCTTTCTTACAACACTCCTGTTAATACATCCCAGAATGATGTTTGCTTTTTTTGCCAGTGTTACACTCTTGACTCATATTTAGCTTGTGATTCAATATGACCCCCAGATCCCTTTCTGCAGTACTCCTTCCTAGGCAGTCATTTCCCATTTTGTATGTGTGCAACTGGAGGTTCCTTCCTAAGTGGAATACTTTGCATTTGCCCTTGTTGAATTTCATCCTGTTTACTTCAGAACATTTCTCCAGTTTGTCTAGATCATTTTTAATATTAATCCTATCTTCCAAAGCACCTGCAATCCCTCCTGGTATTGTCCATAAACTTTATAAGCGTACTGTCTAAACTTTATAAGTGTACTGTACTTATCTAAATCAATGGGGGTAAGTGGTGAGGTGGAGCAAGAGCTGGGTCAACTGGCCACATGCCACTACTTTCCAGGGTGTTTGCACTATCAGAGCATTGTCGATGGGCAGGAATGCACCAGAGAATCTGACTCTTAATCTTTTTATGTTTGAATTGAACACTTGATATAGATAGATGGTAAACAAAGAATCCAGGATGCCTTTTTACAAGGTCCCTATTCAGAATAGAGCCACACTTTAATTATTGTTAAGGGAAAGATTTAAATATGAAGGAATTTAGAACTGATAGAGTGTTGTCTGGGTTATAGTTCCCAGATCTGACCCTTGGCAGAGCTGCTTTAATGTAGTACTCTTAATATATTCTCATATTAGTTCCTAATATAATTGGGGTTGGGAGTCTATCTGTGGGCTCACTGAGCAAAGAAACTTTGCCCTTACTTGCAAATGGAATGGGAGATGGAGTCAGTCCAACATGCCTTCCCACAGATAGGGAAATTAAGCCATTAAGAGTCCACTTACTCTTTCTCCTGAGTGGCTGGGTGTTGAAGGCAGCTATCACTCTGCTCCTAAAGAGGAGAAAGCCCAGTCAAAGGTTTCTACTGAAGATCTGTAATCAAAGTAGGGCATTTTGGCAGCTGAGGAATTGTGAAGACAGTAAAAGCAAAAGGTCTTCTACATCTGCCCTTTTCTCTAAAATGGGTTTTAAGTGACCTTTGCTTCTACTTTAAAAGTTAAAATTTGATGAGATATGCCTCATTTGTCAGTGTTGTTTTCCCCCCTTAAAAGTGACCTCTCCAACAATTAAATGGGGCGGGAAGGAGCTTCTTTTCTGTGTGCCTTGCTGTGAACACTGACTTCGGTTTCCTCTCATCTTTATAACCATACAATAAGAAACATTTTCTTGCGTAGAACTGTTATCAATGTAGTTGGCTTTATAGCTAGGATGCTTTTGCATAAGCATTGATAAATACAACCCACTATGTCCTCTTTATCTCCACTGATGAAAGTTTGCCACATAAATTCAGCATTGGCTAGGGCAATGAAGTACTCTTCATACTTCTAAAACAATATTACAAATAAAGGAGAGTTTAAAATGTACCATAAAGTGGCCTTGTGTAGTCACTGAATGTACCTGGTACCCCCCCTCTCCCCCGCAGGCTGAGGCATAGGACTGGTCACCGGAGCTGATGCTGCCACATATGCAGCACGCAGCTGCCTAGGGCACATGGTGCCCTATGCAGCTGTGTATGCTGCATATGCCTAAAGACAGCCTTGGATATTGGTGCTGCGCCATGTGCCTGTTAGTGTTACTTGCAAGCCAGTGGAATGTCTGGCTTTTAAAAGAACAACATTGTATTCAGCAGCAAGGAAATGCAAAATGAACGGGTTTAAAGATGGGTTGGTGCTCTGAGGGACTTGGGACAGTGAGTGAATTTCTGTCACTAATTTCCCCAATGGTTTTAGGATTTTTATAGCACATGTAATATGTAGTTCATAAGCGGATGCTGGAGAAATGTGCTTGCTTTTGTGAGTTTCAGACCCCTAATATTGTTTGAATGAAGTTCTTTGTGTTTAATTCCATGTTTTAAATCAATACTCTGTCACTGAGTACATACAGATTCAGTTTCCTAGCGGCTTCCTTATTTTAGTGATATTATCAGCGACTAAAGGAATTAAATAACACTGCCATACAGTAAAGCTTTCTTTTATAAGTTTGCCTGCAATCACTGTATTTCCTTACAGTGAAGTCTTGTTGTGCCAACTGTTATCGCAGGGGCTTGGTTTATTAGCTGAATGATGAAAATACTCTACCTTCAGGCATCTTTCTTGAGAATACTGTCTCTAAAAAAGCTGTGTCCCTTCTTGTCTTCCGGATGAGATGTCAAAACAAGTTCCTAACAACTTCTAGTCATTATAGAGATCCAATGGCAATGATAAGAGTAGGGGTATACATCCCTGTATCTAGGCCAAATTCCAACTCTTTCAATTTATAATCTGCCTCTGTAACCTTCTCCTGCAGTTACCCTTGTATGTGGTATTCATTTCAGGTTCTGTAGTATTAAACAGTTGCTGTGTTGTGCTCCAGAGATGGCTACACTTCATAATATTATTATATATTCCTGTATCCCTTTCAAAACCACCTGTGAAGTAAGTGAGACTTAAGGTGTGTCTACACTTCCATCTGGGGTGTGTGATTCCTAGCGTGAGGAGACGTACTCA